CATCTTAGTGTTCATACCATTCATCCTTAAGTATCTCTTGAGACTACTTAAGGCATATCTATTCACAATCCTACCTCTTAGGATTTGTTTCATCATTTATTTATATTAATTCCCCGACTAGTATTTTGATACTAATTGGATAATTTTAGAACATACTAAGTTCCCATTTCCCAATTGGCATTTCATTTCCATTGATTTCTCAACCCAAGTATAGTTTGATCTCAATATAAAAAATATCACTTTAATCCATTCATGAATTTCATACATGAAGTAAAGTATATTTTATCACAATGTCATCATAGTAATTCTGTTAACATGCCGTTCCATTCATTTCACATAATCATACACAATTATTCTAAATTTGTATATCATGCTCCACTTACTCATATCCATATTATTTTCATTTACGCATTATTAGTAATTAATAATCCATGAAAATCCCATCTAATTACTTTAGGCAATCTTATGAAATTAACTCACTAATTATAAGCAATATAGTCAGCCATCCTCACCTTATGATGTGCTCAACTAGCTGCCTTAGCGAACCCCCCTCGATCCGTCCTCGTTCTAGGCCGTTCAAGAGTGGAAAATCTGGGAATAGAGCGAAAGCCGGGCGACTTTTGTGAAAGCCGGGCGACGTTCGTCCTCCTGCAGCACGAACAGCCTCCTATATGTGGCGGTTTCCGGCGATTTCGACTCCTATCGATCCACCAACTCTTCTAAGTTAAATATCACCACTTTATATCAATATTCTACACTTTTAAACGTGTAGAACATCATGTTTAACCCACCAAATGATTTCTTAATAAATCATTCATGATAAAACTAGTTACAAGAGTTTTCTTGTAGAGTTCTTACCTCGACTCAACTCCCTTTTTGTTAGATCTTTTCCCCTTGCTTCCCTGAGCTTGAACTTTGATAGAGGCCTTCCCAGAACTCCTCTCCTACCTTATTTGAGTGGTGAGGATGATGCAAATGATGGGGGGACATTTCATCTCAATCCCTCCCACTTATTCAATGGAATGGGTCATGGGTTTTGTCTCTTGGAGACTTCCCACCTACTAGGTACACCCCCCAGCTGCTTCCTTGACATTTGCAGCACATTGGGTCGTGGGGTGGCCCCCACTTATGTGGGAGGTCATCCCATTATATCCCGGTGTGTATAATTGGCCCCGAAAGTTGTATTTTTCGGACTACTTTAGTCATCTTTTATTTTATCGGGCCGGATAAAATATATCACGCGTTCCTAATAATTATGAGCCTTTAGAATAGATGTATATTCCCCAACATGAATTTAGGAGTCTCCGAAACTCATTTCGGGTTGTTATCCGTTGAATTGCCAATACCGGTAATTGGGCCCCGTTTGACCAACCGGTCAACTCCATGCCTTTCTTATGGCCCAAATAAAATATCCACCACCATATACATATTATCTAGACCAAGATGAATATAATATGTGGTTCGGGAATTATCGGGCGGTCCCCGCTCCCGTTGTGGGCCCCACACGCAATTTACTATTCACGTAAAAGAAATAATGAAATTTACAATTACGCAAATTCATAAATCATCTTTCAAGGTTTATTACATAATCCACTAAAAGTAAATATGCTCGGGGTCGGTGTTACAATGTTTCCCTCAACATCAATTCAGGAACCGTATGTGCACGTTATTCATGCAAAGACCTCCCAATATGAACCCGTTTTGAATATGGTTGTGGAGAAGAATGGAAAGTATTTGCATAATGACGCGTCATTTCTGGATGGCCATGACAATGATGACGATGGAAATGAACAAATGGGAAATGATGGAATGACAGAATCAGATGATGAAGAAGGTGATATCGTCAGCGCAAATGGAATGTCTTCAGAACGCAAGTGATGTAGGCGATGAAGGGGTTGAGATTTGAGAAAGAGGTAGATGATGTCGACGCTGAAATCAGGTGATGAAGAAGGCAAGTATCGGCGATGGAGACTCGTGTCAAAAGCAAGCTATGAAATATTGATGGAGAATCGATGATTAAAAGGGAGACTCCGATTGATGGAGTATATTCCCATATACCCCATGGGTATCCAAATAGCCGGTCAAAGGCCACAAAAGCATCTCAAAATATTTAAAGTACCAACCTTCCATCAGAGGCCGACCCCGACCTTGACCCGTCGAGGTTGGAACAAAGCATAAGACGACAAATTGACAAAGGACAGAAGACCCAGCCGAGGCCGACCTCGACCATCTGAGGTCGGAGAAAACACCAAGGTCGGGAATCATCCAAACAAGGCAAAATATGAGGCCGACCTCGGGCGAACCGAGCTCGATACCAACTCTGACCTCTGACACTCATGCAAGGTCAACCAAAGTAAAACGAAGCCAACAAAGGAGTCAACACTATAGAACAAGACCGAAGACCAAAGACAGAGCCTCTGGTAATGAGCACACGCATCCGAGCTCTGACCTCAGGGAGCTCGGGGTCTTACCAAACACTCTATGGATTTAAGCGTTTCACGAAAGCAAGTGCCGCATAAGCCAACACCACGTCACCAGTACCCTAAGAGGTGCCACATCACTCCCAGCGCAGAAAGTGAAGAATATTTTGGATAATACACGTGTAGCCCGCACGTGTATTCTGGTTCTAGTTTGTTGCATACGTGTAGCCCGCAAGCGTTTCCGACGAACAACTAACGGTTAAGAACCAAAATGGAAGAAACCGAGGACTAACCTGTTGAAATGGTGAAACGGCAAGAGAAACCCTGACTAGAACGAACACGAAAGCTCTGAACTGCTTCAAGGCTTTGAGAATTCGAAAACAAAGGAAGCACAAAGGAGAAAGTTTTCGCCTTTTATACTCCTCTTAAAAATAAACGGGAAGCTGACACATGGCTATCAGAGAATCAACCGCACGAAAAACTGAAAGGTTTCCCCCAAAAGGCGTGCAAAAAGTGTAATGATGGTGTCGTATGGTCCTTTCAAAGCATTGTCTCATATTAAAGGCGAAAAAATGGCTAATAAATATTGTGTTGCAAAAGGAATATTTATAAATTCCTATTTGTACACATCGGTGTAACTACATGCCAAAAGCATTTTCAAATGAAAAAAATCTCCTAATTCCACCAGATATTAAAGACAACTACCTCGTCCCCCTCAAGTTCATACTCTTCTACCCTTAAATTTTTTCCAAGTCCACAAGAGTGGGGGACTGGTAAGTGAGGGACTCAGACAAAAACACAAACGGAGGTCACCAATATTTCAAGCTCATAGCAACGCAACGACCTTAGAGGTAACACCGAACAGGTATAACTAAAAACCGAACTCCCTATATAAACGCATCCCCGTTGCGAACTTTAAATTTTTTACCATAAATTTTTTTTCATGTTAAAACCTCTATCAACAACCGGTGGAGGTTGTGGATGTAGCAACTAACTCGTGAAGCAAGTAATGAAACCAAGGACCACGAATGCTCGAAGCTCGATCTCGGGCTCAACTACAGCGGGGTGTCGCCTTCTTCTCCGGAAATCATAGCAAAGCGGAGTGTACTCTTTTTCCTCCGTTAGGATTTTTCTCACTGTTTTTTTCGTCAGTGGAGTTTTTAATGAGGCGCCCCTTTGTCATGACCATGGAGAGAAGTGCCCCCGCCGGGCGCGCCGGCCCAGAAGATTGAAGATTTAGTCTCTCTCGCCTCAAGTGTTACTTTCGCCTAGGAGAGTGAGGGACTCATGATGGAGTATATTCCCATATACCTCAGGGTATCATAATCGCCGGTCAAAGCCGACAAAAGCATCTCAAAATACTTAAAGTACCAGGCTTCCATCAAAGGTCGACCTCGACCTTGACCCACCGAGATCGGGACTAAGCACAAGACGACAAATCGACAAAGGACATAAGACCCAGCCGAGGCCGACCTTGACCATCCGAGGTCGGCAAAAACACCGAGCTTGGAATCATCCAAACAAGGCAAAATATGAGACCGAGCTTGGGCGCACCGAGCTCGGTACCAACTCTGACCTCTGACGCTGACGCAAGGTCAACCAAAGTCAAATGAAGGAGTCAACGTTACAGGACAAGATCGAAGACCAGAGACAGAGCCTCTGGTAATGAGCACACGCATCCAAGCTCTGACCTCAGGGAGCTCGGGGTCTTACCAAACACTCTATGGACTTAAGCGTTTCACGGAAGCAAGTGTCGCATAAGCTACCGCCACATCACCAGTACCCAAAGAGGTGCCACGTCACTCCCAACGGAGAAAGTGAAGAATATTCTGGATAATACACGTGTAGCCCACACGTGCAATCCAGTACTAGTTTGTTCCATATAGTTCCAATCAGCGAGCTGTCTCATCTGTCTCTCCAATCACCTTTACACGTGGTAACACTCCATTAGATCAGTCTGTTTAGTTTGTTATAACAAAGATATTTTCTTATCTTTCCCACCTTATGATCACATAATGTTTGACAAAGATAAGAAAATATCTTTTCATTATTCGTGAATAATCAACTTTTTCATCTCATCTTCATTCACCGGTCTCTACCGATTTATGACCTGTTATTCCAAGATATTTTCTTATCTTTGTCAAACATTATGTGATCATAAGGTGGGAATTATGATATAATGTTTTACAAAGATAAAATAACTTGGAATAACATGTCATAAATCGGTCAAGGACCAGTGAAATGAAGATGAGGTGCAAAGGTTAGATTATTCATGAATAATGAAAAGGTGAGACTATTGCAAGAAGACCGCTAAAAGGTTGGATTATTAATTTCCATTTTCCCTTTATTCTATTTAAGGTCAACCACAAAAGAGGGAATGCTTATTTAGGACTTAGGGGGTGTTTGGATCTGATTGTTAAAACTACTTCTGCTCCTTCAGGGAGCAGAAGAAGAAGTTGGAATGTTTGTGTGAAAGCGTAGAAGTGATTCTAGTACTCAAATTTACTCCTAGAACCAGTTTTTTTAGAAGCTGGGGTGACCAGCTTCTGAAAACTAATTCTGATTCTGCTTCTGCTTTAAAAAAGAAACAGAAGCAGAATCAGTTCCAAACACCCCTTAATGCCGATATATATATTAACATTAATCTAACATAACTGCACGTCCATTCACCAAACTCCGCCGGATCGAGCTTCTCACCTATGCCGGTGAGAATGTGCCTTAGCTCGGAAATCACAACGTAACCCGTTCAGTCCTTTCCTTGTCGAGAACCTTGAAGGCGTCGCATCGCTGGCGATCGAACGGCTCAGGCTTCAGGTGCTTGATCATAAGGCCGAGGAAGCGATTGAAATCGAAGGGGGCGTTGAGATTCTCATCGGCGCTCAAACTTTCAAAACCATCTAAATAGGTGCGCGGTCGTCTTTATATCAGAATTAGGGCTTGACAATCGCCTCAAGCCTCCCAGGCGCTATTTCTAACTTTAATTTGGCTTTTTTGTTAATTTCATCTCAGGAATAATTTGCATTCACGATCTTCAACATCTGTAACGCTATTTGGGATAAGAACGACACAGGAGGCTATTTTGCTATTCGTTCCGCTGAATTTTTGTAATGTCTTCGTTTATATCCAAGTCGAAATTTTTTAGGCGTTTGGTTACGCGTAGGAATCCGTTATTATTAGGGACGAAGTACAACAAGACCGGTTGGAAATCAGGAAATTCTGCTGAAGCTAGATGCTTGAGTAGCATTACCGGTATTGGTTCAGGTTCTTCTGCTTATTCACCTGTCTATACTCCAGAGAGGGGAATTTATAGCAACGCCAATGTTACTCAAAGGAGAAACTTTTTGGGATGTGGCGATGGAGAAGAGGGAAATATGCTATCTAAAGTTTACAATGAGAAGCGTGTTATAGGGTAATCCACTTTTCTTCTTATTACTCCGTATTCTTTTTTTTGAAGCACAATAACATTCAAGGATGTAGGTTAGGGCGAGTAGGCATAAGCAGTTGCGTGTATCGTTTTGTTGCTTATTTTCCCAGATGCTAATGGAAATCCTAATTTATTAGGGATTAGTGATTAATTGGCATCATCTTTAATATTTTCTTTGTATGCGCATCACAATATTTATGAATTGTAATAAAATGCTATGCCATTGCGGGATTCATATGTCAGAAAGCCGTTTCAAAGTTTACTTTTCTTGAATTTTTATTATGACTGCTAATAAATTATTAGATATTTTCTGATGTACCAATAAAGTTTAATATACTTTTTAAGTGTTTAAAGCTTATAATGTTTTACTTAAATGACTTGATTATCAGATACTCTCCAGAGCAAATGTTTGCCGTGGTTGCTGCTGTGGACCTGTATGAAGATTTCCTTCCATGGTGCCAAAGGTCAGAGATATTAAGAAGCAAACCAGATGGATCTTTTGACGCTGAGTTAGAGATTGGTTTCAAATTTCTGGTTGAAAGCTATGTATCCCACGTGGAATTAAAAAAGCCGTCATATATAAAGGTAAGGAACTGCTTCATTATTTTCTTGTCTCATATAACATCTTCATTTAATCATTGGTTAATTTTGTAACTTTAAGTTTTAAGGACCTGATGCATCTTATAATTCCACTACTGGATGCCAGCATGATACAATGATGACTACATTATAATGGGACTTGTAATATACATAGTAGTACGTAGTTCTTAATATGTGCGATGACATGACAATGTATATGATTTTTCCATAAATTTATTCTGTTACCTTTCTTCGAGTGCTGTTATAGGACTGGAAGGCAATTTCAACTCCAAACATCTTTCACAATTGCATTGCACTAAGCTGTAGGAATGTCCATCTGTGTAATTTTTTATCATAACTTAAATATCTATGACTACCTTGGTTTCATCTGCATGCTTGTTCATACTTATTTCTGTTTCTCAAACACCTTTTTCCTTGCTAGCAGTTGCCTTTTAAGTTAATTATTATTTGGCGCCTTTGGCCTTTTGTTCATATTCTCTTGCACTCAAACTTGCAGACAACTGTATCAGAGAGTAATCTTTTTGATCATTTAATTAACATCTGGGAGTTCAATCCGGGGCCCAGTCCAGGGACATGCACCCTTCATTTCTTGGTGGACTTCAAGTTCCAGTCGCCCCTTTATCATCAGGTGACTTACTTTTGTGGTCCATATAAATGATGAACAGTGTTTTCCTATGAGTTTTGCTTTAGTTTATTTATTCAAATAGGTACATTAACTAACTTAAAGTGTTCAATTAGCCTCTTATTTAGGAGGTTCTGTCCGGTCGTCGCCAATTGGGGCGGTTCCCGATGGAATTTTTTGATGAAATTTTTGGAGCATCTTCTTCATTAAGTCTAGTTTACCCATATCAAATTCCAGCTAAAAAGTAAATCGGGAAAACAGTCAAATGATTTTCCGAAATGTACTCCGCTGTTTAACTGTGTAGTTATCTTCAAAAAATCATTTGACTGCCTTCCCGGTTGAATTTTTAGCAGAAATTTGGTATGGGTAAACTAGACTTAATGAAGAAGATGCTAAAAAAAATTCATCAAAAAATTCCACCGGGAATCGCCCCAATTGGCGACGGCCGAGCAGAACCTCTTATATAAGGGGCTAATTGAACACTTTAAGTTAGTTCATGTACCTATTTGACCCTTTAGCCTTATTCAAATGCTGTAACATGGTAACAGATATTCTCATTTGAACCATCATAGTAGTTGACTCAAAATCTGTGTGGCAGGTGGCAAATATGTTTTTTAAGGAGGTGGTCTCCCGGCTAGTTACTTCATTCAATGATCGTTGCAGGTTGATATACGGACCTGGAGTTCCTGTAAATGAAAAAGTTTATGAAAGAAGGGCATGAAGATTTCTTTTTTCTAGTTGTATTACAAATTCATTTTGTTTTGTGGTAGTTAACTGCAATAGTCCAATCTAGTTGGGATGTTATTTTGGTAAACAGGAAGAACGAAACATGTAGCTAGAGGGTTGATTAAATTGGTGTTCTTAACTGTAGCCCCAAATTCTGCTTTGTAAAACATTTACTCATTTTACTAAAGTATCAATTATTCAATTCTATTGTGTTTGTACCATGTTTCATTTTTTTATTCGCCCACAAGAAGGCCTAAGTTCTGTGTGTGAGTGTGGTAGTGGGGGATATCGGCGGGGCTCTCAACTCTCAAGCTGTTTGAACTTTGAAATACACATACAGAAAGGAAAAAGAGCGGACCTGTTTACTAACACAGATATTTTCCTGTTTCCTACTTCTGTTTTTCGTTCTCCAATTTTGTGTTTTTATTTTTCAGTTTTTCTATCTCCAATTTTCTGTTTCTAGTTTCTAGTTTTCCATTTTCAAATCTGAAAACATGTTCATCAATTTTTTCATGGATTACTAAATGGTGCTTATTAAGACTCGCGTTAATAAGCAACACATAAAATAAGCAATGTTATAAGATCATGTTTACTTCAAAAGGTTTAAAACACCGTTTAACATTAAAATGTCCAAAATAACCTTATACATATATAGGCACACAAACATTCATTAACACAAATACTCCATATATAATATAATATGTGGGGTCGATCACCTCGTATGTGTACCCATACTCCTAATCCTTACCCTGCCCCTATACCTCGTACCCCCACCCTACACCCTACACCCAATTCCACACCCTTGACCCCTACCCGTACCCTTACCACGATCTTACACTCTACCCATACTCCCCTAAAACCCTTCATACCCACCCATACCTACTCATAGGGGTCGAGGTAGGGAAGGAAGGTATGGATGGGGTGTGGGGGGTGGGTGGGTGGTAAAGTCTAGGGGTACGAGGTTGGGTGGGGTAGTGGGTGGGTTAGGGTGGTGGTTAGGGGTAAGGGTGGGGGTAGTGAGTAGGGTTGGGGTTGGGGTAAGGTAGGGGTAGGGTAGGAGTTGGGATAGGATGGCAGTAGGGTGGGGCCTGGGATCAGGGTGGGGCCGAGGTAGGGGAAGTGGTAGGGGGTATGATGGTGGTGGGGGTAGGATGATAGTAGGGTGGGGGTGGGATGGCGGTACGAGGGTGGAGGTAGGATGGCGGTAGGGTGGGGCCGAGGTAAGGGCATGTGGGAAGAAGTAATGTAGGGGTAAGGGGTAATATACGAGGTGAGGGTAGGGTTAGGGTGGGTCGGGGTGGGGTTGAGGCGGTAGGGGTGGCGGTAGGGTATGGTGGATCGGGGTGGGACCGAGGTAGGAGCATGTGGTAGGGGTGGGGGTAGGGTCATTGTAGGGAAAAGGGTGTGCGGGGTTGGGGTTGGGTGGGTAGGGTAGGGTAGGGTAAGGGATAAGGTACGAGTATGGAGGTACTGGAATGGAATCGACATCGGAACGGGACCGAACCCACCACTAGGTGTAAGTATGCTAATTAATTGGAGCGGCCTGTAGCATCTGCGTTTTCCAAATTCGGAAAACTAGTAAAAGTCACTTCTCCAAATCATTAAGGAAAAGAGAGACATGTCTCATTTTTTCATTTTGGAAAACGGTTTGGCAAACGCGTTTTTCTGTTTTCCTTTCTCTAGTTTTCCACCAATTTTCTTTGGTAAACACGTTTCCTGTTTTCTGTTTTCTAGTTTTCCAGTTTTCTGGAAAACTGGAAAATATCTCTGTTAGTAAACATGCCCGCATATTTGCCATTTGAGATGAAAACAAAATGTTTGCTAACATCAGTTTTAATAGGGTTGATCAACCCAGTTTACGTTGTCAAAACGTATATTAACAAAAAATAGTGTAGAGCATATTGAATAGACCAACATTGAAATGAATGAAACTGAAACTGACTAAAACCGACTTAACTCTTGATGATTTGATTTACAGTTTATGTTTTCGAGTTAGGAAACCGACTGAATTGACAAACACGTGCCTAAATGAGTTTAGAAAATCCAAACCAATACAAATTGATCAAAAAAATATGAAACAAGTTGTGCCATTTGATTCTCCGTTATACATTTTTAAACTAGGCCACAAAAAATGAAACCTATAACCGAAACATACGAAAAAGTGATGATTAGGCCTAGTTACTATCTTCTTCTTCAGAGTCTCTCCAAAGCTAGATTGCGACCTAGGCTTAGCCAAACATCCGCTACCGAATTTAAAATTAAAATTTGGATACTCAAGGATTATGCTGAAATTTTAAATTTTTTATTTGAATCTGATACTAGTATAGTTGAAAATATGTAGCCTAGATATTTCATCGGTGGTTTGTTAGCTAATCAGCCACAAGTCCCGAATGGCAAAACCTCTGATCTTCCTTCACAATTAGCCTCTGAGCTCCTTCGAGTACTTGCCAGACATTAATTTGGTATAATTCTATGATTTAATCGAGAAATTATATCATAACAACTGCAATAATTTTTAAAGAAATAAGATTGGAATTCAAACAACCATTGTTATTGAAAGTTCAAATCAATGTACAAATTACAAGATAATTCATAACCAGCTACTTCTATAGCATATGTTGAGCTATATATATATACATCCTTCAGCATAACCGTATCTCCAATTACATAAGGTAGATGAATGCTAGATGATTGGCCAATGGCCATACACTTCTTCATATGGGGGCTTCCCAACAGGTGAATGGAAATTGGTGTTACTCCACCATTTGACTAGAGGAATTCAATTACCTCAATGCTTAGGATTCTCCCCTGTCATGCATCTTAAGTATGTTTCGATGCATTTCTATTTCGATTCTAGTCACATATGCTGGCGGTGTAACCGAAATGGCGGATTTGGAGCGTGTAAAGATAGCGGGGATGGATTGTGTGGATGTTACAGTGGGAAGTGCTTTAGACATATTTGGTGGAGGATCGTTCTTGATGTACACTTAAGTTGTACACACTTTGTTTACACCCCCTAGTTGTTTGTGTACACAAGTAGCTTCTGAACGAACTGTCTATGTACACAAGCAACTAGCAAGTGTACAGAAAATGTGTACAACTTATGTGTACCAATGGGGGGAGTCCCTCCTTTGTTTGGAGAAGTGTTTTTGAGACCCAAGAGATAATCAGGTCTGGCTATAAATGGAAAGTTAGAGATAGGAAGACTAGTAATATATGGGAAGAACCATGGCTTTCTGATGACGTAAACCCCAAGATTTCTTCATCCAAGTATCCGAGTCTGGAAAATGCAAAAATTGATGGCCTAATTGATGAAACGGGTAAGTACTGGGATTGTGATATTATTTATGATATTTTCAATTGTAGGGATAGGCAACTTATTCAAAGTATTAACCTAAGCATCCGGCAAATACCGGGTGGAATTATTTGGAAAGGGGAATTGAATGGCCCATTCTTGGTCAGGAGTTGTTATCGTAAACTTGTTGGTGAGTCGGTGGCCGGAGGTTGGACAGGGTGGGTGCGAATTTGGAATTGGAATTTACCTCCAAAAATAAAATCTTTCTTATGGCAGGTGAGTTCTGGCTTCCTTCCAACTCATTGTGCTCTGCGGCGGAGGCGGGTTGACTGCCCGACAAAGTGTGGCCTTTGCAAGACAACTGAGGAGACGACTTTGCACCTATTCGTTAGGTGCCCAGTGGCTCTAGAGGTCGGTCGCCTTTTGGGGTGGAAGAATTTGGGGCACAATTTTGGCTCCTTCCTTGAATGGCTTGGTGCTACCTTTCAGACTCATAAGGTGGAGGATTTGCAATTTGTTGTTTTAGGGTGATGGGGAATTTGGTATGAGCGCAATTTGCAGGTTTGGCAGGGGGCTAAATCATTTGCAAATCAGATTGTTGTCCGGGCTAAGGCATTTCTTGAGGGATGGTCTATGGCATAGAAGGGAGGAGACCCGCTTGCTCCTATAGTGCAGGTGGGGAAAGCCCACTGGAACCGTCCTTCAAGTAGGAAGGTGAAACTCAATGTGGATGCCTCCCTATTGGAATCACGGTGTGGGTTGGGGTGGATGTTGCGAGATGGAGATGGGGCCGGAGTTTCTGGCATGAGGAGTTTGTCAAAGGCTGGGTGGGTGTCTCTCGGTTGAAGCTGAGTTATTGGGTATTCAGGAGGATTAAGTTGGTTAAAGGAACAAGAATGGAATTTTATTGAAGTTGAATCAAATTCTTCAAAGGCTATTGCTGAGATAAAAAACGGGTCTAGTTGCTCGACCAGGGGGCTTCAAGCTGAGGATATCGTTTTTATGAGTAGGCATTTTAGTAGCATTACTCTTTCTCATGTTCAGCGTTCTGCGAACACTGTTGCTCACTCTGTAGCTAGGGCAACGTGTTCTATGGCAAATCATCATATTTGACGTTTTGTTCCGCCTGATTTTATTGTTCATGTACTTCATAATGATCTGATTAATGATAATTAAATTTCCTTTGTTCAAAAAAATGTTTACCAACAATTTTTTTCCTTTGGCAGATAACCTGGCATTTATACCATGATATTGTGGCTTGGCACAACCGCACAACCTTAGATCCAATCTACCCCTTATATACATAGCTTTCAAATTATGTGAAAAAATTGTTCAAAAATGAGGCTATTCAATTAGATCTTAAATATGGAGTACTATATTTTGTATAGCCTATATGCTCATCTTGGTTCCGAATTTTGTGATGGAAGAACCAAGCTGTTATTTTTTAAGTGAGTTGAGTAACTTTAATTTGTCTGTTTTCTATGAGGCTTGATGTGGTTGTATAATGAATGAGCTATCAAATCAGGTTACAACGAATGGATGAGTAAAAGGCATGTCCAAGTAGCATTGGTAAAATAATTAGTATAATTTTATAAAGCTCTTCTTCTCGTTATACACTTCGTGTAGAAAATGCATATAAATGCTTACACTTTAGTGGCGTTACACAATATATTTATTGGATCTATATTTTTGCTCTTTAATTAAAAAGTTATGTGGAATTATCATAGTGATCGATGTTGTTCATTTGACAATATCCCAGCCTTTGGTTAATCATAATCAAAGTCTCATTTTTTTTTAATTTTAATCTTATGAAATACATACAACCAAAGTCTCTGTTACATGACCATTGCCATTCTTACATCTTTAACTCTGTTATAGACATACCAGTTGTCAAAACGGCCTCGATGATAATGAACTGGATAGTCT